TACGCGGAGAAGAACCAGAACCTATGGTATTTTAATTGTCTAATTTTTCTTATACTTTTAGTTTATCAATTTTCAGCACCCGCTTCATAAACAATATTCTTTCACGCTTGCTGTAAATTTTAATGTATCGGCGATATAACAGTTTTAGTTGCCATGGTTCAAAAACTTTCGTGGGACTATTGAAAAGTTAGACAATCATCGGTTTATCTGCAGTGGTGAAATTTCGGTTTTGCGTGAAGATACTATTGAAATTACCGAGTTACCCATTAGGACTTGGACGCAGAACTATAAAGAAAGCGTTTTGGAAACCTTTTTAGAAGGAAGTGAAAAACAGCCTGCATTGATTAGGTGTTTGTTGCCATCAATTTTTTTATTAAAGTCATTTTTTAACTGATGAATAATTGTATCTTTACTTTTTATTAATGCATAAAAATTGGTTTAGCGATTTCAAAGAATATCACACTGATACGACAGTAAAATTTGTGGTGAAAATGAACCCGCAGAAGTTGCGAGAGGCAGTGGGCGAGGGACTGCATAAAGTGTTCAAACTTCAGACTGCAATTAACACAAGTTCTATGGTATGAACTAAATTTTTGCCGGTTAATTTTTGTTGTACCTTTTTTGAAGAGAATATTGAACACAGTTTTTTAGGTTCTCTTTGATGCTCTTGGGTGTTTGAGAAAGTTTTCGACAGTTGAAGAAATATTTAAAGAGTTTTTTGAAACTAGAAAAAAGAAATACATAGAAAGAAAGGCTTTCCAAGAGGGCATGCTGCGTGCTCAGAGCGAACGGCTGAGCAATCAGGTTGTGTTTTGTTGGATTTTACCGTTAGACAAGTTTTTGTATTGGAGAAGTGTTTTGAACCTTATCAAGAAGTATAATTTACAGGCTCGTTTTATATTGGCCAAAATCAAAGGTGAGATTTATATCGAAAATAAGCGGAAGGTCGCTATCGTTGAACAACTTGTGAAGAAGGGTTTTGATCCTGATCCTGTTAAGAAATGGAAGGAATACGTTAGGAAGAAGGAGTTAGAGATGACAGGAGAAGTTGCTATTGATGAAGAGGATGAGGAGGAAGAAGGAACAGAAGAGGTTTTTTTTAATTTTTTGTTTGATAGTGGGAATCGAGAGGACTAAACATTCTAAGTAGTAGTAGGTGTTCGCACTTTTTTCCCTTTATTGCTGTAAAGAAATTTTTTCAGTCGGAAGGTACTTCTTCACCACTTAAAAAAGACGTCGAAAAGAAACTTCAGGACTACGATTATTTAGTTGGTATGGCTATTTTAAAACTCTCCGAGGAAGAGAAGAATAAATTACTAAAAGAAAGTGAAGCCAAATTGGATGAAC